GGGGGGGTGTTTAGCAGGGGCATGGCTAGGGTAGGGTTTCTGAGGTTCTGGCACCGCTGTGTGGACACTTGGGGTCACTGATTGAAAAGGCTTTTCTAAACCGCGCACCAAAGGGCCCTGATCTCAGCTGGGGCTTTACACACCAGTGTTAGGCAGATAATAATGCCCCTGTATCGCTAAACCGATGGCCTGTTCCTATGGGGAGTTTGTCTCCTGGCCGGTGCAGTGAAGCCGACGTTCATCACAATGTGCACCAAAAGGCAAAGTAAAGGAAAAGCTCGAGTAATGAGCAAATCCACTTCACGGGGAGTTTCCTGACACAGAACCAGCATCTCAGTCAAATCAAGATTTGTCCGTAGTGGCAATTCTGCTGATCATCCAGAAACTCGTCACCCTTTTTCATGCTGACCCCTGGGCCGGCGGACTGAGGCTGTGCCGGGCACGGATGGACTGTACTTGCCAACAAGTTAGCCCCGTCCGCACAGAATTAGCATTAGCAGGAACCGGAGGAGCACGGCAGATTCTGAATTAGATGCTCTTCACATACCAGTGTGACTCCGCTGACTGCAGTGGGGCTGCTCCCGATTTACCTTAGTGTAAATGAATGGAAAACCAGCCCCATCAGTTCCTCACTAGAAAACTCCCTGCCACTTCCCGCCCCTTCCCCCGAGACCTGCACCATTCTATCCCTTCGAGATTCCCCTTTGGCTTGTTCCATCGCCGGCAGGAAAGCGATTAGGCTCCAAAGCTATTGGTTATTCAGGAAAGGGAAATCCGGAGTAGGACCAGATTCTCAGCTACTGCAGCTCAGTGCTGGCTGTAGTCGACTGACACCAGCTGACACCAGCCGAGCATCTGACCCGCAGTAGCTCTCTTCCACCATTCTTTCTGGTGCTTGAGCGCGTCTCACTCTGTGACTATATATGGACACTAAATTCTGTTTTCCGTTTCAGCTTGCCGGTAAGAGGGGGAAGGAAATTGCTTTCTTCCTGGGCCGTCTTTGAGTTGCTACACAGAGAACACTGGATCTGCAGCTGACCATAAGAAGAACCAGAGCGTGAAAGCTTACAGAGAAATCAACAATGCAAGAGCCTAGTTCGATCCCATCTTGTCACCCTCCAAGCAATGCAAGACTGTTCCCTATAGTTGATTCTCCAGGGCTTCGCCCAGTCCCATTTAAGCCATTCCACTAATGGGGTTTCTATTGCTTCCCTGGGGGAGAATGTGCCACAGCCTGATGGATCACCTCACTGTTAGGAAATTTTCCCTTTTGCTCAATCTCACCCCTCCAAGCACTCCCACCCCCTGAGTCTTATCGCTTGTTCCCATGACTCCCGTACATGCTGTTCACCCACGTTACACGTTTTCCTCTCCATCTCATTAGTCAAATGATCCACGAACCAGGGGAAGATCGTTGCTGCTCACCCACCTAAGTTGCATGCAGGGATGGATCCAGTAGGCATGCTCTGACCAGGCCTACCAGCTCAGACCCCCCCCCTTAGAATGCTCCCCTGGGATGTGGAAGATGTAGGTTCAATTCCCACCTCTGCCCAAGGGGGAGGAAAAGATTTGAACAGGGTTTCCCCGCCACTCAGGTGATTGCACTGAGCTATGGGATATGCTGATGTGGCGTTTCCCCTGAAGTTGTTCCACTGTGGATAAATAACTAAAGAATCATTGGGGCAGAGAGTGAATAAGAGAGCAAATGACTCTAAAGCTTCATCATTAGTACACCCCCCCAAGAAGCTGTAGGTCCAGTCCCCCTGCTCCAATTCTTTATACAAAGTGGAGCTGAGTCTGCAGCCCCTAAGCATTACAGGGTTTTTTTTAAAGAAGCCTGCAGCATTGATGGAAGCAAATAAAACCTCCCAAACAAGAACCGGTGACGTCTGCTTGAATCAGCAAACAGCTGGCCGGGCCTCATTTCCAATCTGAAGTTGCCTTGTTTAACTTCCAGCGATTGGTTCTTGTTCTGCCTTCCGCCACTAGAGTCACGATTTAGCACCTGGTAATTTCTCTCCCCGATGGTATTTATACACTGTGATCACCTCTTGATCTTAACGTGAACAAACTGAGCCCTCAATCTCTCACCGTATGGCATTTTTGCCCAGCCCTTGAATAATTTTTAAGTAATCTCTGCACCCTCTCCAAATTTTCAACGTCCTTTTTAAAAATGTTGACACCACAGCTGGGCAGAGTATTCACCAGTGCCACATACGGAGTTTACATCACCTCTCTACGCCTTCCCGTTACTCCCCTGTTTATACATCCAAAGGATAACATTTGCCCTTTTAGCCACAGGAGCACCCTGGGAGCTCAAGTTGTGTTGCTCGTTCATTGTGGCTGCTAGATCCTTCTCAGAGCAGGATACAGAGCAAAACAAAAAGAAGACAGCAAGAAAGACACAACCTTTCCAAATGAAATCATCTTTCAGTCCCATGACTCATGGTCTGACCTCACCACCAAGTGCCTGACCACTGGAGCAAACAACCCCAGTGAAAACAAAAAATACTGACCGTGTTAGATCCAAACATACAGCATGAGAGTGAGTCACAGATCCCCATGCAGCGCTCTCCCCATCCCCACCCTACCTATTATCTCTCACTCGCTATCGAGCTGCCGACTACTCCCATCTCCGATGGGCCCGTGATGCCAGCCACCGTTGCCCACTTGGTAATCTTTCAAACAAGAACCTTCATGCTTTCCCCCAGGCTGCCCCTTGCTCTCCACATAAACATTCACAAACCTCACTCATCATCAAATCCCTCCCTAACCTTCTCCTTTGCTGTGATGCCTACCAAAAAATTGTTAGGCTGAGATCGCTGCCCAGCGCGCTATCCAGAGCTGGATTAACCTTTTGTGGGCCCAGCACCAAACATCTCTGTGGGTCCCAACGGGGGCAAAGGAGCATGGCCCGGAGCGAGGGGCCAGCCAGGGGCAATGGGGCATGGCATGGCAGGGGCAGCCCCGCTCCGCCCAGCCCACTGCGAGGGCGTTATTTAGAAACTGGCAGTTGCCAGATGCACAGTGGCCCACCCGGCCCTGTGCTGACAGCGTGCCCCTTCCCCTCGGGGGAGGGCGCATGCCACGCCACACAGCCCCACCTCCCCCCCCCCCCCCGCCAGCACCCCATAGGCACCAACTCCATGAGTGCTTCAGGGCTGGAGCACCCACAAGAAAAAAATTGTGTGTGTTGAGCACATTACGGAGGCCCTGCTGATCAGCTCCCCACCCTTGCCCTCAGCTGTTCAGCAGCGGGCAGGAGGCGCTGGGGGGGGGAGTGAGGGCTGGGGGCGCTTAGGGGAGAGTGCAGAATGGGGCAAGGGTGGAGCGGCGGCAGGAAGTGGTGGCGTGGGGATGGGGCCTTGGGGGAAAGGGTGGAGTGGGGGTGGGGCCTGGGACAGAGCAGAGATCAAGCACCCCCAGGGAAATCAGAAAGTCAGCACCTCTGCAACACCCCCCTGACTCCCTATGCCCAGACCCCCCCAGACCCGCTATGCCCAGCACCCCCCCAGACCTCCCACAAATTCAGTGTCCTGCACGTCACCACCCCTGCCCAATGTCCCCTGCCCACAGCCCCACCACAACTTCCCAGCATCCCACACAGAACCCCCACTCCCTAGTGCCCCAACATACAGATCTTCCCCACCCCCTCACAGCCCAGCACCCGCCCGCCCCCCGATGCCCCAGAGACCCACTGACCCACGCCCTGCATCCCAGCTGCACTCACCAGCCTTGCTGGGAGGCGACTGTCTGCTGGGCTGAGCCGGCAGGGCAGCCAGGGCCGGTCCCGGGGCTGGGAATCGCTCCAGCCCCTTGGGAGTTGCGCGATCAGCCAGGCCATGGACTGCCCCGGCCAGGGTCCCTCAAGACGCACTTGCCTGGAGGAACCCAGCCAAGGCCCCCCCGCCCACCCCCAACTGGCCGAGACTGGCCAGGCTTCTGCCCCAGTCCCAGGTGGCTCAGCTCCGGGGAGACAGGTGGGGCCCCACAGGTGGTGGGAAGCAGAGACTGCCCAGAGCTGGAGGCGCACTCGGGTCCGGCCAGGGAGCAGAGAGGAGACGGCGGGTGGGGCCAGGGGGCAGAGAGGAGCAAGTGATGGGCATGGTGGGGGGGAGCTAGTGGGCTGGCGGGGTCTCGGGGCACAGTGCAAGCAGAGCAGGCTGTGGCCCCTTCTGAGCATGGGCCCGGCTCCATGGCACCACTGGTGCCATTGTAAACCTGATACTGGTGCTGCCAAGTGCTGTCTCATTGTTTCTTTGTGCTCTCCTGTCTGTAGCTATCCGTTGTCTCTCGTTTTACACGTAGGCCTGGTCTACACTACAGAGTTAGGTCGATGCAAGGCAGCTTTGTCGACCTAGCTATAGACCTGTCTACACTCAAATTTCGCTCCCACCGACGTAACTGCCTCACTACATCGCCTTAATCACTCCACCTCCACGGGTGGCGTAGAGTCAAGGTGGACATAGTTAGGTCAATGTAGTGTCAGTATAGATGCAGCACTGCTTATGCCAGCTGTTACTGGCCTCCAGGAGCTGTCCTACAATGCCCCACACTGACAGCACAATCGATACAGACTCTCCTGGTTATGACACACACCGCCGACACAAGGAGCGAAGTAGACACACACAAGCACTGCAGCGGCTGTATGCCGACCTAAGCTAGTTCGACTTAATTTTGTAGCATAGACATGCCTTTACGCAATGAGTTCTTTGGGGCAACCTCTTTTTGTTCTATGTTTGTGCAGCACCTAGCACGATGGCAGAGGCGATACGTGCAGAGGCCTGGGAGGTCACTATATTAGCTGCTTGGCTTGTACTGAGCATGCTCACAGGGACTGAGCGTGCTCAGTAATACTGCTGAAGCCGGCCGCCCTCACTCTGCCCCCTCTCCCAACTATTGGCAGGCACAGGTTGTCTCTGCACGACGGGGTCCTGCTCCGTGACTGGCACTCCCAGGCAATAATAATAATAATAATTAGTGGAGATATCCCATCTCCTAGAACTGGAAGGGACCTTGAAAGGTCATCGAGTCCAGCCCCCTGCCTTCACTAGCAGGACCAAGTACTGATTTTGCCCCAAATCCCCAAGTGGCCCCTCAAGGATTGAACTCACAACCCTGGGTTTAACAGACCAATGCTCAAACCACTGAGCTATCCCCGGCTCGATTCCAGAGAGCAGCAGCTGAGCCAAAAATGCGACGGGGATTGAGGCAGGGCCCAAGTCTATGCCTCAGACGTCTGCTGGCACAGCTGAATCGCTCAAGGGTGCAAAAAAGTGTGTTTCCTCACTGGACAAAGCAGCGTCAGCAAAAGCCGCTAGTGCAGTGGTTCCCAAACTTGTTCCGCCGCTTGTGCGGGCCGGGCCGGTTTGTGTACCTGCCACGTCCGCAGGTTTGGCCAATCGCAGCACCCAATGTCCGCGGTTCGCTGCTCCAGGCCAATGGGAGCTGCTGGAAGCGGCGCAGGCCGGGGGACGTACTGGCCACCACTTCCAGCAGTCCCCATTGACTGGGAGCCGTGATCGGCCGAACCTGCGGACGTGGCAGGTACACAAACCGGCCCGGCCCGCCAGGGGCTTTCCCTGCACAAGCAGTGGAACAAATTTGGGAACCACTAGACAAGTGTGGTCGCCGCTATACTGTCAAAATGGCCCTTTTACCAGAACACCTTGTATCATGTGGGGGGCTGGTTTTACCACAGACCTGACCTACACCAGAAAAGCTATATCAGCATAACAAGGGTGTGATTTTTAATGATATGCTGGTCTAAGCCCTAGTGAAGACACAAGGGCCCTTATATTGGTATAGTCCATTTTACATCCCAAACTAGAATAAACTGCGGGTATAAGCACTTTTATGCTGGTACAACTGAGTTCATGCTAGCTCCCCCCTGCCCACACACACACTTTAACGATAGTTGATTGATTACAGTGGCAAAACACGTCTAGCTCTGATCATCAGCAGATCTCAAGGGGCTTTCCAATGGAGGGCAGGATCATTATTCCCATTCTACAGATGGGGAAACTGAGGTATGGAAAGGGGAGGTGCCTTGTCCAAGGTCACCCAGCAGGAAAGTGGCAGGTGCTGCTGAGTCCCAATCCTGTGCTTTACCCACTGGGCACAAGCCCCTAGAGCAGTGGTTCTCAACCTATTTACCCTGGTGGGCTGCATATGTGGCCCACAATGTGTTATGTGGGCTGCATCCAATACTACCTGTATGGCCCTGAGGATGTCACATGGGCCGCAGCTCTGTGCTGATTAGGCCCACAGGCCATGGGTTGAGAACCACTGCCCTCGAGCCTTGCACCCCCATCCAAACCCAACAGGACCCCTCTACAGGTGTCAGGCTTCCAGCCCAACCTTCTTGGGTTCGGGTCAGGTAGTGTCTGATCACCTCCTCCTGCCCGTGGGGTCGGCGTGGTGGAAGCCACGTGCCCTGCTCCTGCTGACTGTGGAGTGAGGTTGCCGAGGCTGTGTGTGCTGAGACTCAAGGTGGTAGTGACTGGCAGACAACGGCAACTCCATGGCAGCAGGCGACCAGAAAGATGGCAGGATCGGGGAGCGGGAAGCCTCCACCATGCTGAGCCCCCAGGAGAAGACGGCACTGGTGCTGACTCAGGTTCAGGGGGACATCTCTGGTTTGGGTCAGGTCTCAAAAATGACTTGACCCACTAGGGCAGGAATGGGCAAACTACAGCCCGTGGGCCAGATCTGGCCCCTCTGGGCTTTGGATACGGCCCATGGGCTTGCCACCGGTGTGGCGCCATGGGCCCTGCGCCGCACCCGGAAGCGGCCAACACCATGTCCCTGCGGCCCCTGGGAAGGGGGAGCAGAAGGCTCCGCGCACTGCCCTCGCCTGCGGGTACCTCCCCCGAA